TATATCTTCAATTCGTAAATTCTATAGCGACTTGTCACTTATGTCCGGTTTACCGGCGACAGACCCGTAATTTTTATAAGAAATTTTTCTCAGTGTATTTTCATGTAAAAGGTATCAATTCTTAGTTTTTTCAAATCATCTTTAATGTGTAACCATTCAAAAATCAAGGTAAAAAATAAACCTAACTTTCATTTAACTAATGCATGATACAGCATTTTTAAATCTAATTTTTTTCGTTTTATTTAATTGATGATAATCTGAAGAGCATCACTCTCTAAAATCGCATTTTTTTCAGACTTGCGTCAAGCGATAAAACTCCTTCAAATTATATACATAAAAATGTTTGTTTCAAAAAATAATTACGTTGAAGCAATTAAAAAAGTATCATTCATATCTGTTTCGTTAAAAATATTCAAAGAAAAAAAAATGGATGCTCATATCAACAAACCTTTTACATGACCAAAATAGCCCAACAAATTCTATCAACTCACTTATCTAAATTGTCTACATTAAAGAAGCTTATTATTGATGCTTTTCGTTATAATGATATTAGCGTAATCAGTTGAATCACTTGTACGACATACTTTTTAACAATTAAACAGTAGATATCATTCAAAATCAAACTAAAATATTCTGCATCAATATTTACTGTTTTATTTCTAGAGAATATTCAAGTGTCAAGGTGATCTAATATAAAGGGTGAAGATTTATTGATGTAATTATTAATAGTTGTAAATACAATTTTAACAATCTCTTTCCATTTAAACAAAACTGTGAGTATAAAATCAGTACGATTATTAATCATACATTTACACCCTCTATTACAAGTCATTTTCATAAGATATCGATTGGCATAATTTATATTGCTAAAATCAAAAAGTTCACTTCTTTAATTTAATGTAATGTAACTATATAAGTACATTGATATTGCATCAATAATAACAAGATAGTTTATTTTAGTGAATTATTTATTCGTAATTATAATTGTAACTGAAGGGTCAAGTCCTCAAATTGTATAATTTTACAAATATAGATAATGAAAATTAAACATATTTTCTTACACAAGATGATACTTGGTCGTAATTCATTACATTTTTAAATTAACTTTTATAAAGTAAATATTCTTTTTTCGTAGAGTAATTTTTACACTTATCTTTTTCCTGTGTAGCATTGTAATTACTTATACGCAAGAATTTGCAATGTAAATTTCAATTACGTTGACTTGTTTTATCTGTTCTAAGTCAATTTTTATTCATTCCTTTACCATAATTCATTCTATTACACGCAAAGAAGTAATCGATAATTCGTAGCAGAAAATTATCAAAGCTGACCTAAGAGCTGTGTTAAGAATACCAGAAATTTAAAGAGCTTTCATCCAAAATTTAATATGCCACTCTATGATATTTAAAGATGAATAAAAAAATTTTTTTAAATTATTTATAGTTTTATGTGATTGTAGGAAAAGGAATATAATGAATTTATTAATCTTAAAGTTAACTATAGTGAATTCAGAACTCAATATGATTCCATACAAAAGGTAGAAAGTTATAATCACTAGAGTAAAATTCAGAAAAATATGATTGATCATCATAAAAAAAACTTTATAGTGCTTTCGATAAATATTTCATATTAAATGCTATAATACAGCATACCCTGTCAAGTAAATCTATTTGCAAATATTAATTGTGGCCATCGACGTTATGCATACGGTGTAAACGAGTAATGTGAGCATGCATGTATTATAGTAGACAAGCGACTGCCTCATTAGTCTGGGCTTAATGCCAATTACCGGTTTCTCTTCAGTACAATACCTAGTACATGTATTCTTGTCATTTTCATACAATGTCAATTTGCTGATAGATAAAACTTTTCTTTATCGAAATAAAATAATCATTACACCAAAATTGTTGTGGTTTTTGAGTATTAAATGTTAAAAATAATCATTGATAATTTAAACCATTTTTATTATCCTCTTACATGAATCAATAATTATTAATTGATTTGCAGTGGTTTTCACTAATTTAGTTCGAGAGAGTAATTTAATAACTTTGAAAATAGATGTTAGAACAAATTTATTTTACATCAGATGAAAAAAGACTTTAAAATCATATTATGTCCATAGAAAGGAGTAAAATTTATTTGATAATATAAGCAGAATTTACTCCACAAAAGTTGACATTGGAATGCTATAAACCATAAAAAATATTACTCTACTTAAAATACTTTTTTGTTAGTTTTTTGTCATATACCCTGCATTACAGCTACTTGTGGGGTAAATTTTTTTGAAAATTTTCTTCGAATTCAAATGCATAGAAGAACAGATATAAAAAATGACACTGAAGTCAAGATTGATTAAACTAATTCTAGTGAAAATTGGTCTAAGATTAAGTGCTAATGTAGGTAATTAAATCTCAGCCATAGTCTGACCTAATATGGACATACCAATTCTTAATGATGTAAACTATTCAAGCTTTAGTCTTAGCGCAGGTAAAAGTTGAACCGTTAATACTCGGTTAGTCAGTTTAAGAACATGTGTGAGTCTCTTGTCAAACCTGGTTTTTCGTCTCCACCCTAATAGGGGTGCTAAATTGGTGCTATCATCAAGTCATGACCCAGTCATTTCCTACAACTAGGCCAATGCCAGTGATGGTAATTAATTTTAGAAACGTTACTCTACTTTTAAGTAGTATTTAAATTTTATTTCAAAAATGGAAAATGTTTTTTTTTGACTTGAGATGAAATTATTCCAGAAGTCGAATTCATTTTATGGAAGGATTTTTTTATTGACACGTTTAGTTGATGATTGTTTTGATTATTTTGACACTGTACGGAATTGGCCTAAAATTAATAAGAAAATAAATAGAATTTATTTTAACGTTAAATTGAATTCACACATATAAAATATCTTATAAAAAATGTATACTTAGTCGTATATCTAGATTTTACTGTCTGGCACGCTGCCACCTTGTATGAGTTTTTTTGTTTTTTGTTAAAATGCCCTGAGCAAATATGCTTTGCATCAACCATTCTCGAGTACTTGCGTTAAGAAAAAGAGATACTGAATGCGGAAATTTAAAATACTTTTATTTTCGCAAAGTGTATTTGTGTTAATGTTTGCGTAAAAAAAGTGTTTAATTTCAAATTTTATTTTTTCAACAGAGTTTTCTTTATATATTATTTCTTTTTTTCGATTTAACTTGTAAGTACTCCAAAAATTTACTTATTTTTACGAAATTAATTAGTTTCCATACTTTCATGATTTATGACTTGAGTATTACAACAGAACTTTTTATTTATTTTTCATTAAATCATATGGATTTATTTTTACTTCTTTTACAAATCTTTTATGTTGAATAATTGCTTTCTACGTGAAATGATGTATACAATCTGATTGTATCTTTTTTTATGAAAAATTAAAATCAAATTAGAATTTTAATGATGCTGTAAAATTAGTCTTTTTACTTCTTGTCATAGTAATAACAAAATTGTTTATGCAACAAAGTTATCTAAAATAGTATAAAGAATAAAATACTTTGTTTTTTTTTAAATTATTAATTACGAGAGATAAAGAAAAATTTTTCAATTTTCTCCTTAAATGATAGAATATAATAATTAAGACAATTAAAAAAAATTGTTCTTTGAAAATGACTAAAGCGATTTATATTAAAATATAGTTATAATGTACATTTTCAAAAACACTTTCAATTGTAATACACATTTTTTTTCTTCAAAAGTACATGTAGAAATCATATTTTTAATAATAAAAAAATTCAATTTTTTGTAATTCTTTCATTACAATAAATATAACTTTTTTCTTTTGAGATGACATAAGGTAATGAGAAAAATTCTTCAGTTTTTTAAAAGTATAGAGTTGTTGAAATTTAGAATCCATAGTAGTTTATAAAATAATAGTTTAAATTTTAATCATCGATTTACACGTTCAAATATTGAAAAAAAATTCACATGTTAGCTTAAAGCAGAGCTTACATTCCAATTCCTATTTACAATTCGAAAATACAGTACATATAAATTACACAATATACAAAAAGAAAAACTGTTTATACATTAATTTTGGACGTGTTTAAATCATCAGTCTTGAAATAATTTCATCTAATATTTTAATAATGACCCTGGATTCATTTAAATAACGTGAAACTTTTGAAAAATCAATCAGTGCAAATCAAATATTTAATTTTCAGAGTAAATATAACTATTGTAATGGTTAGCGAAAGAAAAAATAGAGGACATTATTTCATTATAAGAAGTTGCGTAATATAAATAGAAAGAAAATTAAAATAAAAAAGAATGTATTGAAATATTCCGGTGGGATAGCAGGAAGAAAGATTATAGTTAGTTAAAAATGAATAAAAAGCAATGTTTCAGTTCAACTTTACATCCGTTTCACGGCGTCAGTAGTAATTCATCGAAGCGAAGAGGCATTTCGTGGTGCGGATGAAGAGCACGGGACGCGCTGGCGGCGATGCAAGAGATCGGGCATTAGCCTGTAAATAGTCACCGGAGTAAGAGGTCTCTACTCTCTGGCGGCCTTCACCAGCAAAACTCATACTTTTTTCGCCGCATCACCCAGCTCCAATAGAAGTAGTGCGCTTGCGTTGTCACCCCGCTCGCCATTCCACATTAATGCTACTGCCGTTGATTCTGAGTCGGCGCTGCCGCTGTAGCTAGTGTCGCTCTTCTCTGCACACCACTTCTCCCTTTAGATCCTGATGGATCTCTCTCTCTCTCTCTCCCTTGCTCTCAACTCTCTCACTCTGCAGATTCCAAGTCTCGACGCTACCTCAGCACGCCGCGACAGCCACGCGACCCCTTCTCCCACTCGACTCACAAACGTGTGTCACGCTCTAGGTAGTCCAGTGCGTGTTTGCTGGAAGTGGGGATAAAGGCGCGTGGTACTTTACTCTGGTGGGGAGTTACGATTGATGTTGGTGGGAGGCTCGTGAGAGCTTGCTCGTATAGTGCCAGTAGTTCCGAAAGGACAGAGCTTCGGATAGGATTTGTGTTGTACCATTTTTTAAAAACCTATCTATATGCGACTGATATAGTCTTTAAACCATCTCCAAAGTGTTCATGATCAGTTCAAACGGATTACCCTAATTATTCAGCAATAATTTAACTAAACCGTACTGTTAATAAAGTTGAGTGTATTGTACTTGGGATAATAGCTGTTAAATGTTTTATTAGTATGTGAATAAAATTGAGTGATATGATATTGGTTTATAACGTATACGTTCATCTGTCAATGTCTCTTGGAATTTTCATAAAGATTTGATATAGCAAGTGACACACGACGGAAGTGTAATATTTTGAGTGAAAAACGATTTTTGTTAGTGTGTTATATATGACCTAAGATAATTTTGTGCTCATCAATATTCGATTTTATGAGTGAATGACCGTGATAACTGTGTGTCAATAACATAACAAGAAGAAGGAAATTCACTTTGAGTTATATCAAATGTGCAATGGGAATTGTATTGCTCGTCTTATACTAGTGCTATTATCCGCGTCCGGATCGCTGAGTCAGACGGATATCGGAGTTGCCCAGACCCCTGAGATGGTAGTAGTCAAGTGATGCTTGCAGCGCAAGGGTGGACTTACCCTCGACCATTTCAAGGAAAAAATATACCTCCAGCGTTTTTATTTGTGTTCTTTCTTTCTTCTTACTTTACTCGGAGCTGTTATTGACGCGTGACGAGACAAGTATATCTTATTTTCTCCTCGTCAGAAAATTCTATTAAGTGTCGAAATATCATTCTATAAGCTTCAAGTTTTGGTCAGCAGACAGAGTCTATCAAAAAATGATAATAAGGGCAAACAATAAATGGTGTATAGAATATTTGTCGTGAGACGCGCTGATTGTGTGTCGAAAAGACGAACGTGCGCGATATGTCGTCTGTGAATAATGGATTTAAAGCACTTACAATGGACGTAACCACAAGAGTTGCACTTCCCAGAGGAGTCAGCAGGTGAGCTAACTTTCAAGCATGCTTTGTACTAATAATCAATCGTAAAATGGAGAAACACTTTAGATAAGTGTTATTCTTATTTGATAAATAATATCAACTTTTAAATTTATCATTTTATTGGAAGAAAAATTTTCAACTTTAAATACAATCCAGTCAATAACATGAATAATGCGATCATTTCAAATGGAAAGTATTTAACTGATTTTTAATCAGAAAATATTTACGTGTAACTTTTACCTGAGAAATGTAGGTGAACTTTTTTAAAGTAAATATTTGTTTCTACCGAAGGAAGAATTTTTTTTTGTATAAAAAAATTACTACTAATTATTCAACTTCAATTGTAAAATTGAAGTAAATTCAGTGTAGAGCTATTGAAGGTTTCTACTAAAATAAATTTGAACCAAATTTGAAAGGTAATTACAAGAAAAATTCACTTGAAGATGTATAAAAGACAATGAATCTCTTTAAGTACTTGTCTAGTCTATGTAACTTAATTAGCGTCGTCCATTTTTATATAAATATTTTTATATTATAATACTGCTATACAATTTACAAAGTTTATTAATGAACTATATTTTTTGAAAAAGAAAAAGATAATTTGACAATTTTTTATTCAAATTTTTTTCTTGTCCAATTTGATAGGGATGGAAATATTGACGAAAAAGAAATTTTCATAGTAAATGCAAAACATTTTCAATCTTTTAACATAAAAAGATAATAGATAGTGACTGAAAAAGGGTGCGAACACCATTAATCATAAGCTTACAATTGATCCTATAAATCATGACCTCATTGCGTCTTTGACATTATCTAACTATAAACTGTTCAATCTTAATATCCTAATCACTCATAAAGTAAGTGATTAAAATAATTTCACGTTCAATTCATTTATAGTATTTTTAATTTTGTAGATTTATTCGAGAAAAAATGGTAAATTTATGTAGAATGGAAATTTTTTAATCCTATTCTTTTTTTATCGTACATTAATCAAAAAAACTTGACACGAATCATTTTTTAAAAATAAAAGGAAAAACTTTCCATAAATTGCTTTTTCACGGTTTATTGTTTTACCATCTATAAATGACAATTGTATAAATAATGCTTCAGTCGTTTACCATTGATTGGAATTTATTCTAAAAGTTTTTTTAATTGACTTTAGAAAGACCTTTTTGTTAAGTATTTAATAACTATGATTTAGTTGAAAACCAAAATAATAAAAGTGAACTTTACCTAGGTTCATTTTATCAATGTTGAACAATTGGTCCAACTTTGAATCAAGCTTGGTATGTTGAGCATCAACATTTCAAATTTGGCTATGATTCAGCTCATTGTAAAGTTGAATATTAAGCAAAAAAAATGAGTCATTTACTCTGTATTATATATAAATATATGTACATGTATTTTTTGTAATTGTTGGTGAAAAAAATAAAAAAAGTACTGGCTCAATATTGGTACTCTGATAAAACAGTACGTCTCAGACTGTGGTATTTTATTTTCAATCAATTGGTGATCTCAAGGAAAGCAAAAGCATTCTCTCAAGTCCATTGAGAATTGGTAAAGTAAATGACGGAGGAATTATTCAAATACATTAAAACTATTCTTTTAATGCTAGAGAATGAGTTGGAAATTTCTTCAACCAAGCATTAAAGCTGTCAAAAAACACATACTAAATATAATCTTTTAACATAAAGTCATGCCTGTGTTTGATTTAAATATTATCTCAATACGTAAAAATGATAGTGGTACGTGGTTATCATCCATGGTTAAAACAATATTCAACCATATACTTATTTAATACTTATTTTAAAACCTATCCTAACTTCGTTACGAATAAGCTCAAGTTAATGTTGAAACAATCTTATTCTTTTACCTGAATACGTCGGAATATGCCTAGTAAAAAATGAGATTGGTTCAAAATTTAACTAACATAGTAAAATTTAGTCCAATAATGGACCAATTTTGCTTTCTGCTTGGAATAATACTAGGTGTATGCACTCTCATATTGATTTATCCGCACGTGAAATTCAATCAATATTATTTTATTAATAATAAATGATCTAAAATTGAACTAGTAAATATTCATTGGTTCACAGTGGTTTTAAGTGATTCTTCGAGAGAATATGGCAGTCATAAATTTGTATTCAAAGAAATCATCTTCAACTAATATACCAAATAATTGTTATGCCATTATTTTACTTCGCACTTTATCCGATGTCGTAAGACAATAATATCCTAATATTTCACAGTAAAATAATCGATGAAGTAAAGTCTATCATCCTAAGGACTAAGGCTTCATTTCAACAAGATTTTTAATCGGCATGATTTCGTTCTAGCCCTACCATTGATTAAAGGTCTTTTATGACTAACGAACACGTCAGCATCTTGAATATCACTCCAACGTGACTGACGAGCGTCTGGAAGTTGAACGTTCTTCTCAACTTTACTAAAAGCTGTATACGCAATCGATTTCCTTCTGATGTTTTATCCATACAAAATGCTTCAAGGATGATTCAACGTTGTTACCCTCTATTCCCTTTGTCTCCTTTCTACGGTATCTTGTAATCGAGCAATAAATACACTTTTAACCCCGAAGACCTCCGTTTCTAGACCTATCAAATTTCGTACTCATTACAAAGCGTCAACAGGGGTGGCTTTAGATGCAGACGGATCTTGAAGGTAGCTATATGGATTCAACATCGTATAGATTATTAGGGAAAGCACGAAATATCATTCTTCACTTTTTTAGCAGCGTACGTGGATCAAAATCATGCGTTCAACTCGCCCCTACGTTTATTTGAGTATCTTAGTCACGCTTATCAACTACCTAATGTATTCATCAAGACACGTAAACTTTTTTTTCGTTCTTTGTATGTATATTATATTTATGGAGATTGAAAATCATACTTCCTTTTATCGAACTATCAATATGATACCATAAAAGATAAATTATTATTCTCAGTTATATTTAGCATCTTTTATAATAATGTTTTCATAAAAAATATGAAAAATATGTTTGCTATGGTGAACGAGGAATTTCTAAAACTTTGTGGATATAAATTGGCTCGATGATTTTAAATTGACTAATATATCTTAAGCATTAAAGAGAAGATATTTTTTCGATACATTATTTTGATATTTATTGTGCTGAAAAATGTTGATATTCAAATTCTATGTGTCGGTAAAAAATTTTATTAGCATGCCTTAGTTTAAAAAAATGATACCAACTATAGTTGAAAAGAATTCTTTATTGAAATTTTTTCATTTCAAGTTATATGGAATCGAAATTCTTTGTAAATAAATATCGAATTTTATTTTGTAAAATATTTTAATTATTATTATTTTTTATTACTTTCATATTTCCTCACCTTTTTGAGGTTCTTCTCTCTTTTTAATGATATTTGATTGTGAATTTACAGAAAAATATTTTATCGTAATATAATATCGAAAACACTTTTTGTCGATGTTGTATTAAATGAAATCATTTTTTGACAATTTAACAAAACTAAAAATCTCGATGACATTCATTGTAATATTAATTTTTAACATTAAACATGTTCATATTCTCGAATATTGTAGCAAAAAAATCAATGTACTATTTAATTGATGAGAGATATATTTTTAATCGAAATTTTTTTGCATATTTGCAAATTAGCACGATAATCTATGTTATTCAATAATTGCATAGAATGGTATAAATTAGGTTTGAGTTAATTATAATGTTGGAATTTAATATTTTATTCGAGGTAATGCATATCACCAGATAATAAATGAAATTTTTTTTTCGAAATTACTGTCACTCATTTGCAGGAAGTTGATGCTTAGCAGAAATTCTTTTATTCATTATTTCAATTAGCTCATTAGACTTCTTGGATGGTTAAATATATAAAAAATGCACTTGTTATAATGACATTAATGTAGAAAATATTTTAGAAATTTGTCAAATTAGCGATAATGTTATACACCATTAATTGTTGTAAAATATTTACTCTTAAAAAAAATTACTGAAATACACTGAAAGTTACTGTGAAATCCTCATTAATTTATTTTTATAGATTAAAGAATTTAAACATTAAAAACATAAAATAATAAATAAAAATAAGTCCAGGTGCTATTTGACAGCTTACACGATGAGCTTCTCGTTTAAAGGTTTTTATTGACAATGTGACAGTAACCCATTATTGTGTATGGACAATAGAAACTATTTTCAGTTGTTTATAACAAATTAAAATTGTCATAAGCACTATGTAATGGTTAAAAAACTTTTGTATTCATTTAATACCACGCTTGGTCGATATTGACTTTATCAACAACATTCATGATTCGATAAGTAAAAACCACTTGCAATTGTTAGTAATAGTATTTCATCGCTACGAATAATACGAACTATTTATAAAACTGTAAAAAAACGGTTTTTTTCGAAAGCAAAAAATACTTACACGTTCTGTCATCATTGGAACGTTCTGTTAATTATGCATCATAGCATTGATATTCTTCATGATTCTATTTTGCTGCTTTTTCGAATATAAAAAAAGCTTCACTCAATTTGATCAAACTTGTTTTAGATTTACTTCGTTGTATTATCTTTCAAATAGCATTGTGCAAAATATTTTTATCCATACTTGAATTATTGTTAATAAAAAAAAAGTCTTGACATACATGCACACATATTATTTTTATATTATTTCATTCATACTATAAATAAATGTAATTAAACTTATTAACATACCATGTAAGAAAGTTTCATTATTCTAATTTTAATGTAATTCATTTTACTTTTACTGTAATAAGAGCAAAATACTTAACAAGAACTAAATATATATTTTATAATATGCATACAGGTATTTACGACTCAAAAAGCAGAATATTATTATATTTTCTCCATGTATTGACAAAATAGTTTTTTTAACAAACATACATTTCATGTAGTTAGCAAATTTATTTAATTAGCATTAAGGATGGAATGAGCATTAATATATCTATGCATTCTTACATTACCTAAA